GTACACCTGTAGACACCTGTAGTGTCTCGCCTTAAGTCAGTGACTAACTCTGAGCTGAGCTGTTTTACTGTGTGAGTCCTGGTTAACACACATGCTTTGTCAGACTCAGACATGTCCGGTGATGTTCGGGGGACACTGGGTCTTTGACAGAGACGTGCGGGTCACACGCTGACATTGTGACGTGACCCGGATCGCTCATGGTGCTGCATGGAGTGGGTGTGTGTGTGAGAGAGACTATTGTCCGAGGAGAAGTGTGTGTGTGTGTGTGTGTGTGTGTGTGTGTGTGTGTGTGTGTGTGTGTGTGTGTAAAAGAGAGAGTGTTCTTCATCATGCCTGTATCCGAAAAGCAGCCCACACTGAAAAGGGAACTACAGGTTCAGCCTTTGAGGTGTGTGCGTGCAAGTGTGTGTGTGTGTGTGTGTGTGTGTGTGTGTGTTTGTGTGTGTCTGACGTCACACGAGTCACTCAACTTACAGCCAAGAAACATACAGATGAATCAGCTGCAACACACATCACCCATACTGCAATAACACATCTGAATATGACCTGATGACAGCTTTTAATATCACATTTATGCTGCATGTAATTTTAAATAATAAAGTGCTTGCAGAGAGAACGACATAATGGGCTTCATATAGGAAATCAGACCGGGGCTACTTGTCACAGGCACGAGAGCTCAGGTTTGAGTTATAAAAGCTTGTTCTCTAGCTGTGCATGTTTTGTATGTTGGTTTTTAAAACAATCATTAATCATTCATATTGAATCAGAATTCGGTGAGCAAAAATGATGATTTGATATTTTAGTTACATTTACACATGCACATTTAAAATGCTGTCATTTTACTGTAGGCTATCATTGAGATACTATTATAATTTATTTTAAATATTTTGAATTAGTGGTCATTTTTGTATTTTCCTTTTTGTATTTTGCATTTTCATTTTAGTTAGAGTTGTAGTAATTTTATTGTGTGTTTTTGTCATTTTCATTAGTTTTTTTGTAGAAAATGTCTATATAGTTTTTATTCGTTTTTATCTACGTTTTTTGCTGTATATCGGCGCCTACTTTATTTCAGTTTTAGTTTAGTTATTATAGTATATGATTTGATATTTTTGGAAGTTATCTTTTACACATTTGCTGTCTCATGAATTGCTTTGTATTTTATTGTTTAACAGTTTTAATTATTGCTGGAAACCCTTTAAATATCATACATCTAAAATATTCTGAGAGCAGTGTTTCATTGATATAGCCTACTATTTGTTAATATTTTGAATTAGTTTTTATTTTTGTATTTTCAGTTTTACTTTTAGTTTTAGTCAACTTTTTAGTTTATTTTATGTGTTTTTGTTATTTTTATTAATTTTGTATATTATATATATATATATATATTCCTGATATATCTTCTTTAATTATTTTTTTAAGTTTTAAGTTTTTTGGAAGTTAAATGAAAAGTAAATGTTGCTTTAGTAACTAACTGATTTTTATTTCATTTTATTTCAGTTAACGTTTACTTTATTACTTTATTAAGTAACGCATTTTTTTTTAATGGTTTTAGTCTTGAAAGTGATGGCTTTAATTTCGGACAGTATTTCAAACTGGTATTATTATTAAAAGGTATTATTGTGTTAATAAACAGAACGTTCATATTCTTACAATTTACCTCATTTTGTAGACAATAAGTTTAAAATAAACCCAGTAAATCGTGTGACAACATGCCCCGCTCCCTATAACCCGAGCAACAAGTGCACAAATAAGCCACAGCCACACAGCATAAAAGTACATCACTGAGAGCGTCAGGCGAGAGATGAAGTTCAGCACAAACCTTGTCGAGTTCATCGTGGAGTTCCGACAGCGACGGTCGCAGGAGCTTCTCCCCGAGCGGAGCTTCTGTCTGCCGGTAGAAGTCGATGTTGGGCACCGCGTCGATGGTGTTGTGCCCGAAGGTCCGCAGGTAATACGTGCTGGAGTGCGTGTCTGAGAAGTGGCTGAGACCTCCGGTGGACGAATGCAGACTCGCCTCGCTCCGCACCGTGTCTCCGTTCACACCCGCGTCAGGCGCGGCGTCAGACGGGCTTAAGAAGTTCACCACCCGGAACCGGCCCTTGGACTCCTCACCGGTGGAGGAGCGAGATCCCGGCGTTTAGGAGCGACGCCCGCCGCTGCCGCCGCCTCCGCCACCGGGTCCACCTGGAAGCGGCTCTGAGAGGACCCCGGCGCCCGGAGGGCGGGTTTGTGTCCGGCTGGAGGAGATGAGGGCTGATCTGACATGATGGAGATGATGGAGAATCACATGGAGCGCCGGTAACGGTTCATCAGTTACTACAGAGAATCAGTCAGACGTAACAACACTCGTGACCGACCGACGCTGATTGACAGCAGAGCTGCCACAAGTTTGAGTTGGATTTGGCTTGTGCTCCCTCAAAAAAACCTTAGATTCCTCGATGAAACCGAGTTTAGGTCAGAATCAACGCCACTGCAAACTTACCGTACACTG